CCAGCACCTTGAAGCGGGTCCGGAGACTAATGGGTAGCCAATGCAGCTCGCGGAGGATAGGTGTGACGTGGGGGTACCCGGGGACACCCACAATCGCTCGCGTGGCTGCGTTCTGGACTAACTGAAGTCTTCGAACACTCTTCAAGGGCAGCCCCATGTAGAGCGGAAGTAGTTTTGCTTAGTGGACAGTTTTATTGGATGGAACATTTGAACGATGGGTATTTTACCAATGCTTGCATCGTTTCTTACTGACTTCCCCATGACAGGGAGCCTAGCAACAGGCTGTAAATGTAAGCTGATTGCTAAGTATCCAAAATGCAGTCAGATGACTTCAAGGAGGGAGAGTGATGTTTTACCACCAGCCAGAAGTGCTATGGGAAGTGTTTCGTAGGCCCTAAACACTCTCTCTGAGGCTAACTTTGAATGGTCATTAACAGCTGGTTGAAGGTGGAGGACTGCCTGTAACCAGAATTCAGCACAAACTGGTGACTAATTCACCATATACCCAACTTCATTCCCTGCCTTCTTAGTTATAGGAGGAGAACATAGGGAGCCACGAAAAGCTGATTTAGACTGAATGAAAGTATCGATCCATCTCTCTTTTCCATTGTTTGCTGTGACTTCCCGAATTCTACAGAGTGTCAATAGGTCTTTCTGTTCTGCTTCTTCATTTGCTGTTACCTGTGATCTGATCCTTTTCACTCGACATGCTATCACTTTCTCTTTGCAAAGCATTTTTTTTAATGACATGGAGCTACAGCTCCTCTCTGTGGCTTGAGGAACAGATCCTTTCCATTCCATTTGCAGCCATCTAAACAATGTAAGGTGGGCTAGGAAATAGAGGATAGTGATCATGGGAGGGGAAACACTGAAAACCAATAGGGCAGAGTGTTGTTTTGTGGCAGAGCATCTGATTTGCATCACTAAGACACTGATCTAATTCCTGCATCTCCACATAGTGATAGAAAACTTTGTCTACAGTGCTGGAGGAACAATTTGGCAGCACAGAAGCCAATTCCTCTATTTCTAAAACTGTTACTCAGCTGATGCCCATACTTCTTTAATGTCTTTCAGGAGGCCTCCCTCTTGGCAAGGGTCTGGAAGAGGGACTCAGGCCACAAGGAAGCTTTGCTTTTGTCAGTTTGCTTAATGTATGTTAGGCTCCAAGGTGCCTTTTTCTCCCTTTAAATTTAAGGAGAAAGAAATGACTTTCTGATTGTCACAAGTACTCAGTATTCCAGTTATGAAACTGATGTGTTTTGGAAATGTGTTCTTCTACCACCACCACCCTCCAAAACCTCAAGTAACTCATGCTCATTTCCAATCTGCATTTTTATTTTCAAATTCTCTGGGCATCGCTGTACCTTTCTCATCTTTCTCTGTTCTCGAAAAGCTCTGATTTCTCTTCCTCTTCTCTTACTGTTTCTGTTCCTTCCTAGCTCTTGAGCAAACTTGATTTTGCCAAAATAATCCAGACTCTGCAACTCATCCCATGCTCTTCAGGTGGAGTGCATTTTAAGGTGTGTGTACATGCCACATGTCTATTGCCAATACAATATGCAGATTTTGGGATTTTTTTTTTGTTCATATTTTTCTTTGTGCCATTCATTATGTTGTTGTATTCAAACCAAGGATAGAATTGGGCTCAATTGTGGTCACTCCCATTCATAGGTGTTTCTTTGCTCCTTCCATTTTAAAACTATTTTATTTAATGTTCCCCATCCTTTAACATTCATCCCATCTTTTGTTTTTGTTCTGTTTTGCCATTTCATTCCTCCAGGCGTGGTGCGTGCAGAGCAAAAGAATCACACCCTTGATGAAATGGGCATCTTTGATGATGGGCCTTATGAAGTTGGGGGTGAAAGCCTGCGAAAGGAGTCCATGGTTCCGGTTCCTGCTAACAGTTATTTAGGTAGGATTAAGCGCTTGAGAGAACTGGAAGGAAAAATGGCCAAATTCAAATGCTCCCAGAAGGTCACAGACAGTGGTAGGACTCCAAATCTCTTCCGGTTCTACGACACACTGTGCAGCAATCAAAGACCGCCCTCGGTGTCAGCGCTGGTGAACTGAACTGTGTTTTAGCTCAGCTGAGGTGCGTCAATCTGCTCTGCCGCGCACATCAGCTGAGTTAAAAACCAAGGGAATATAGGACGGAATGGCGGGGGCAGGAGGGTGGGGGCCAGCCAGAGGTGCTATTTGCCGGTTCTCTGAACAACTCAAAATTTCTGCTACCGGTACGCCAGAATCCGTCCGAACCGTCTGAACACCACCTTTGGTACACAGAGTGACGGAAAGCTTGAATTTTGATCAAAGCTTTAGCCATCCGTGCTGCCATTTTTAGGCCTTGTCCAAAGTACAGATAGCATCCTGGCTGTAGAGTCCTTAAGAGCCGCTAACATGAAGAAAGGTATAAGAGGCGCAATTGTCAACTTGGAAATTCTTATGCTGTGACTTAAGAACCCTCTCTCTCTTGCAAGACTGTGGTTTGAGGATCAGTGGTTCCATTTCAAACACAAAGCCTCAGGAGTTTTATAAATTGCTGGTTGCTGAACACTATGCAAATGTACCTGTAGCAAAAGCATCGAAGCAACATTCCTGAACCATAAGCTTAACCTCCAGGGCTTCCTTGAAACGTTTAATGGCTGTCTTGATAGAATTCTGCATTGCGTGGGAATAAATAACCTGCTTTTAAATGCTGAGGAGATGGGAGGCACTGAACATGAGTTCAGCCAAATGACCATTTAGATGGCACTTTTTAAAAAAATGACAAAATACGTTTTATTAAGGTAAAGAGTAAAAAATAACAATAAGAGTTGACTCTTCTGTAAGCATTGCGTGTGTCATTCGTTCCTCTATTGCTGGTATAGGGGACATCTACAGTAAATCTGTTTTTCACAGCTAGAATGGAACATGAAGGTGAAAGTTGGGGAGAAAACAGCATAAAATAGTTTTCCACAAATGAGATAAAAAAATAAGTATGGCAATTTCATTTAGTAGTGTTTGCTAATGAAGAAACAAACAAATATCGGCTTTATTTACATTCCAGAAAGTGTGATCTCTGGACTTGGCTTTCTAACAAGGACATATATCGGGATTACAATTCACAAACCGCCTTGCTACCATGACCATTGGAATTCTGGGAATTGTAGTTCCACGGCATGTAGAGAACGCCAAGTTGGAGAAACCTGTTATTGGCTATCCTGTTTCTTGGTTAATGTTCTATACTGGGGTTGGCAAACTATGGGCATATGGACCAAATCCAGCCTGCTGCTTGTTTTTTTTTTTTTATGGCCTACAAGCAAAGAATGGACAGGCAGACAGGTAGCAGATTGCCAGGCGTGAGCCTCAACTGAGCTCCTGGGGAGAGAGGTGGGGCTGAGGGCCAGAGGAAGATTGTCCTGGGTCGTGGCCATCTATTGACAGCCTCTTGCTGGGAGGCCCCTACCATCTATTGCACGGCTCTCAAACACGCAGCCCACAGGCCAGATGCATAACGCTCTGGCCACGCCCACACCCAGTTTAGCAAAGGGGAAAAGGTTGTGTTACATCATGTGACGCGCGTTTGATACCCGTGATCTATTGGCTATCATAGTATGTTTCTTGGCTTGTAGACCTGTCAATAATTCCCACAGGGTCAGAGGAGGAGCAGGATCCTGTCCATTACAGAAATAGTTTGCCAATCCCTGCTGTATATTATCACCGTGTGTTTCTTTACTGTCTTTCATTGGTAGTAGCAAGCGCTTCAGCCGGACTGCATGGAACGCTCTATTTTTTTCTGCTCCCTGCTTAACTTTTTCTCCTTCTCTGCCTTTTCTTTCTCTACTCATCATTGCAGGTCTTCTTTTTGTGACAAGCGTGTCTTATGCCAACCCTGATCAGTTTGTGTACAAAACACTGCCGCCCAGTGTCAGAGTAGACAAACCTGCTGATTTGATGATGAATAGCTACTTAGGTTTGTGACTTCCAAAGCACCAGCCCATCTGCTTTCATTCATGACACTTCAGAGATCATTGTTTGACTTCCATTTCAAGTCAAAGCATGTCTGAGGAAAAGCGCAGATGAGATGAGAGACTTACAGGAGAGGGTGGTTTGAGTAAACAAAATCTGGGAGCTATCAAATGCTTGTGTAGTCAGAGATATGACACTGGAATCAGAAGGCCTATTGGACATATGGATCATGGTCATCCTTTGGGTGACTCCCTTACCAAACAAATCAAGGAAATAATTGGGTGAATATAATAGAATCAAAGAAATGGTATTGGAATATTTAGTCAATAAAATATATCCTCATCACCATCTTATCTAAATCTCTTATCTCACAATGCTATTCTCAAATTGAGAATTGGAAAGGCAGCAGTGAAGCAATTCAGGTTTCCTTTTCTAGCACATCCCAATTTTTATCTTGATATGAGCAAACTTTGTTGTTTTTAAAAAAACCTAGGAATTAAATATATACATATATATATATAATTTGTGGTACATACTTACCTTAATGTACAACATACCAGTATTCTTTAGAATTGAATTCGATGCGGATGAAATGGGGTAGAACTACATGTTATACATAATGGGGATGATGTGTCATTAAATCCAGCATCTCTGGGTCAACATCCCTGCCCCACTCCCCATAAAATGTGCTATTATCTTTTAAATCATATTTTATGATTGTACATATCCCCAACCCCTCTTCCATATCTTTGATAATTATATGGCATGAATGGTTATATGGAAATGTTATCAAACTAAATACATAAGAATAATACATTTTAGTGGAAAGGGGAAGTTAATTCAGTAGGGCAGTGTTTCTCAACCTTGGCGACTTTAAGTCCTGTGGACTTCAACTCCCAGAATTCCCCAGCCAGCTTAGCTGGCTGGGGAATTCTGGGAGT